CAGCCTGCACTCCTACCTCACAGACAGCCTGCACTCCTACCACACAGACAGCCTGCACTCCTACCTCACAGACAGCCTGCACTCCTACCACACAGACAGCCTGCACTCCTACCACACAGACAGCCTGCACTCCTACCACACAGACAGCCTGCACTCCTACCATACAGACAGCCTGCACCTCTACCACACAGACAGCCTGCACTCCTACCACACAGACAGCCTGCACTCCTACCACAGAGACAGCCTGCACTCCTACCTCACAGACAGCCTGCACTCCTACCTCACAGACAGCCTGCACTCCTACCACAGAGACAGCCTGCACTCCTACCTCACAGACAGCCTGCACTCCTACCACACAGACAGCCTGCACTCCTACCACACAGACAGCCTGCACTCCTACCACACAGACAGCCTGCACTCCTACCACACAGACAGCCTGCACTCCTACCACACAGACAGCCTGCACTCCTACCACACAGACAGCCTGCACTCCTACCTCACAGACAGCCTGCACTCCTACCTCACAGACAGCCTGCACTCCTACCTCACAGACAGCCTGCACTCCTACCTCACAGACAGCCTGCACTCCTACCTCACAGACAGCCTGCACTCCTACCTCACAGACAGCCTGCACTCCTACCTCACAGACAGCCTGCACTCCTACCTCACAGACAGCCTGCACTCCTACCTCACAGACAGCCTGCACTCCTACCACACAGACAGCCTGCACTCCTACCTCACAGACAGCCTGCACTCCTACCACACAGACAGCCTGCACTCCTACCACACAGACAGCCTGCACTCCTACCACACAGACAGCCTGCACTCCTACCATACAGACAGCCTGCACCTCTACCACACAGACAGCCTGCACTCCTACCACACAGACAGCCTGCACTCCTACCACAGAGACAGCCTGCACTCCTACCTCACAGACAGCCTGCACTCCTACCTCACAGACAGCCTGCACTCCTACCACAGAGACAGCCTGCACTCCTACCTCACAGACAGCCTGCACTCCTACCACACAGACAGCCTGCACTCCTACCACACAGACAGCCTGCACTCCTACCTCACAGACAGCCTGCACTCCTACCTCCCAGACAGCCTGCACTCCTACCACAGAGACAGCCTGCACTCCTACCTCACAGACAGCCTGCACTCCTACCCCACAGATAGCCTGCACTCCTACCACACAAACAGCCTGCACTCCTACCCCACAGACAGCCTGCACTCCTACCTCACAGACAGCCTGCACTCCTACCTCACAGACAGCCTGCACTCCTACCTCACAGACAGCCTGCACTCCTACCTCACAGACAGCCTGCACTCCTACCACACAGACAGCCTGCACTCCTACCTCACAGACTGCCTGCACTCCTACCACACAGACAGCCTGCACTCCTACCTCACAGACAGCCTGCACTCCTACCTCACAGACAGCCTGCACTCCTACCTCACAGACAGCCTGCACTCCTACCACACAGACAGCCTACACTCCTACCTCACAGACAGCCTGCACTCCTACCACACAGACAGCCTGCACTCCTACCACACAGACAGCCTGCACTCCTACCTCACAGACAGCCTGCACTCCTACCTCACAGACAGCCTGCACTCCTACCACACAGACAGCCTGCACTCCTACCACACAGACAGCCTGCACTGCTACCTCACAGACAGCCTGCACTCCTACCTCACAGACAGCCTGCACTCCTACCTCACAGACAGCCTGCACTCCTACCACAGAGACAGCCTGCACTCCTACCTCACAGACAGCCTGCACTCCTACCTCACAGACAGCCTGCACTCCTACCTCACAGACAGCCTGCACTCCTACCTCACAGACAGCCTGCACTCCTACCACAGAGACAGCCTGCACTCCTACCTCACAGACAGCCTGCACTGCTACCTCACAGACAGCCTGCACTCCTACCTCACAGACAGCCTGCACTCCTACCTCACAGACAGCCTGCACTCCTACCACAGAGACAGCCTGCACTCCTACCTCACAGACAGCCTGCACTCCTACCTCACAGACAGCCTGCACTCCTACCTCACAGACAGCCTGCACTCCTACCTCACAGACAGCCTGCACTCCTACCACAGAGACAGCCTGCACTCCTACCTCACAGACAGCCTGCACTCCTACCTCACAGACAGCCTGCACTCCTACCACACAGGCAGACTATTGCTTACTCCTCGATTTCCGTGACGACCCAGAGATCGAACCCGGGTCGGAACTCCCAGCTAAACCAGGAGGTCTGGTGGCTTTACTCTCTCCAAGCTTCTCCTCTCTCTCTCTCCCCTCTCTGTCTCCCATCTCTTTCATGTCAATCAACCAGACTGTTTTGTCTCACCCACCGCACTGGGTTCAACTACTACCACCACGACACTGGAGGTCACAATAACACACCCACCCACTCGTCTACCCACCGACTCACCCACCCACCCACTCACCACACTGCAGATCAACTCACGTCTCTCTCTCTCTCTGCTTCTTTCCTCGCACCGCTCCACTTTGGAATTCCCTCCTCCCATCGCCATCGTCGTATCTTTACCCCCAAGCTCTTACAACAATAACCTCGCTCAATGCAAACAAGGTCTTACACTCTTATCTACATTACATCTGTGACATTGCCCCTCGTTCCTGGCCGCTTGGCGTTCTCGGCCTGTGCTTTGCAACTGCGATTTTAGCTCCCCCTCTCTCTCTCTCTCTCCGCTATCTTCTCCACTCTCCCGAGGCTCTCTCTCGTATCTCTCCACTCACCCTGTGCTCTCTCTTATCCCTCTCCACTCTCCTTGCTCTCATCTCTTCTCTCTCCGCTCTCCCTTCCCACTCTCGCTTCTCTTTCCACAGATGGAGAGGGGTGGGTGTGGAGAGGGGAGCTGGGGATGTCGCGCTAATAAAACCGAGAGGCGTGCTCCCCTCACCCCTGCCACGCACTGTGGACATCACCTGGTCCCGGTGCCCGCTCGGGGCTAATCCCAGGGGCGAGTTCCTCTCCCAGCGCCCGAGGGAGCCAAGTGCTCTGTCAACTCTCGCTCCGCGTGCCACCGCTCTTGCCTCGCCCTTCTTACATCGGCCCGCGTTGGGAGCTGATCGAGCGAGCCTGACCCTGGCTCATGGGACACTGAATGTCTAAAACCGGGCCAAGAGTTTTGCTTGTCTCGAAACAATGCTGGTGAAATGATGCAGTCCGCAGAGGGAAGGGATGTGTACAAAAGTAATTTCATTTATTAACTAGCAACGCGAACGTCCTTTGGACGTGACCGTCCTGACAGCCAGCCAGCCAGACAGCAAAACGTTTTATTTTATAACATAATACGAATTAAGATGTGGAGAGATGGATATTACAAAGAGAGACCTCTGCTGATTCATTTCGTTAAGCAAATTCAGTTTTGCCATCCATTGGGCCAATGAGGATGTATATTTATAATTGACATTGTGGCAGAGGTGTGCAGTTGGAGGCACCCCGGCCACCCTGGTTAATATTGACTCTGCATGCGTCCCAACCAGAACATTCCAGCACGCCGCCTGCTTGGCAGGGGACGTTGTAGACTCCGTGGCGTTACTGGAAGGAGGGTCGAGCGAGCCATTGTGTGCCGGCGTCACAGTCACAATTTTTTCCAAATTTTAATAACTTACTGACAATTTTTTTTTTTATAATTTCATTGGAATTACCACGTAGCAACATCGCCCCCTACTGGCGGTGACAGGGTGGTGGGCAGTGCAGGGCCCCACAGCTTAAAGCATCCGAGGTTGATTCCAGACTCGGGCACCTTCCCGTGTGAAGTCTGTATGTTCTCCCCCTGTTCTGCATCGATTTCCACCGCCGTCTACACCCTACCCCTACCACACACCTACCCCTACCCCACACCTACCCCACACCTACCCCTACCCCACACCTACCCCACACCTACTCCTACCCCACACCTATTCCTACCCCTACCACACACCTACCCCTACCTCACACCTACCCCTACCCCAAACCTACCCCTACCCCACACCTACTCCTACCCCACACCTACTCCTACCCCACACCTACCCCACACCTACTCCTACCCCTACCCCACACCTACCCCACACCGACTCCTACCCCTACCCCACACCTACCCCACACTTACTCCTACCCCACACCTACCCTACCCCTACCCCACACCTACCCCACTCCTACCCCTACCCCACACCTACCCCACACCTACTCCTACCCCACACCTACCCTACCCCACACCTACCCCACTCCTACCCCTACCCCACACCTACCCTACTCCTATCCCACACCTACCCCTATCCCACACCTACTCCTACCCCACACCTAACCTACCCCTACCCCACACCTACCCCACACCTACTCCTACCCCACACCTACCCTACTCCTACCCCACACCTACCCTACCCCTACCCCACACCTACCCTACCCCTACCCCACACCTACCCTACTCCTACCCCACACCTACCCTACCCCTACCCCACACCTACCCTACCCCTACCCCACACCTACCCTACTCCTATCCCACACCTACTCCTACCCCTACCCCACACCTACCCTACCCCACACCTACCCCACACCTAATCCTATCCCACACCTACCCCTACCCCACACCTAACCTACCCCTACCCCACACCTACCCCACACCTACTCCTACCCCTACCCCACACCTACCCTACTCCTACCCCACACCTACTCCTACCCCTACCCCACACCTACTCCTACCCCTACCACACACCTACCCTACTCCTATCCCACACCTACTCCTACCCCTACCCCACACCTACCCTACCCCTACCCCACACCTACCCCACACCTACCCCTACCCACACCTACCCCACACCTACTCCTACCCCTACCCCACACCTACTCCTACCCCTACCCCACACCTACCCCACACCTACCCGTCTTACCGTTCCCCCTGCGACCCCCCGCACAGCCGCACAGGAGGTGATGCGAGCCCGGTGTGGGGGGGGTAAGGTGAGGGAGGGTGGCGTCATTACTCACTCTATGAAGAAGCTGGCTCCTTCAGGCGTGAAGCCTTCCTCCCAGCCGCGGGGCAGGTCTGCCGGAGGGGGATCAGGAGGGGGGGGCAGGGGGGAATGGGGAGGAGGGAAGGGAGTGGAGACCAGCAAAGTTCAAGGGCAGCAGGGTCCAGGGGCAGCAGGGAGGGGCAGCAGGGAGGGGCAGCAGGGAGGGAGAAGCCAAGTCAGAATGGCAATGGATGCGAATTCCCGTGCCGCTGTGCAAGAACCCGGTCCCTGTGGGGTGGGGGGTGTAAATGAGGCTTGGCCCATGCCATCATCAAGTCCAATAGACTTGATGCCATCATCAAGTCCAATAGACTTGATGATGGCATGGAACGCGACACTTGAAAGCGTCTGCTCGGCTCCCGCGATCTCGACGACATCTTGGCCTCTCTCATCCGTGAGATACGGAGCCATCGCCTTCACGATTCTCACTCGGCTCTTGAGAAGAGACTCAGAGGAGACTTCAGAACCAGTTGGTTATCTATGAATGGATCACGCGGTATGCGCGACACGCACACACAGGCTGGAGAGCTGACCAGCGTGGTGATGTGTGGAACTTCCCATCATTGACACTGCGTGGGGAGGATCGCCATCGAGCACTGGATCGACAGACACACAGCACGGTCTGCCTGTGTACGTGATACATACACAAAGACAAATATCCCCCGTAGAGCCTTAACATATTTTGGGGCAAGTGCTGTTCGCCAGAGCCCATTAAAGGCCGCCACGGCACGCGCATCGGTGGGTGTGGCCAGGATCACTCCCGGCCCCCTTTGTCTCCCCATTGTTGATGGCGTATACACCGTAGCTGATACTCATGGAAGGCCGAGTCAGATATTCGCCACCGATGTTGGCCGTGAGCGGGAATCGAACGCGGGTCGACGGGTTCGCTAACCACTGCGCCACCGCTCTCCCGCCGTGTTATACCCAGCCAAACACATCCAGTATTGATGATCAATCACACACGCACACACAGATACCCATGATGATGATGATGAATATTGTTATACGTGGTGATTAATATTGATGTATATATTACGAGTATTGATGAAACGCTACATCCGTGGGGTGTTCTCAGAGCGTTTTACATCACTGAACGTTATCGGCTGGCAGCGATGCACAGGGACAGTCAACAGCAACATCCCAACACGCCGGTCAATAGCACTGGGTGGCCTTTAAATAATCATATGTAATAGATGACGCTTCGGGCAATGGCCCTTCTTCAGAGCACATGCCAACTCAAGTATCTAATAGGGCACCCCCTGTGGCAGCTGTCCCCTGTGCGGCAAAGCGCGACTCAACACCTGGCATCAATCCGCCAGAGTAGCGGGCTATGATTGCTGCCGTGTGCAATTCCCATTGAATACTGCATAAGACAAAGATCCCCCTATAGCCTTGACAGAATTTTGGGGCAAGGGCGTTTAAAGTAGCGCACACAGACACATATGCACAATAATACGTGTACACAAGCTATCAATATGCCCTGCAAACGAAATTCTACGAAGCTATAAACCCTTAACAACGCTCGGGTGTACATTTTATATTTTACAACCTGCTTTCATTGGTTAACCTATTGCCAGAGATATAACGCTATGAGTGAGAAACTCAACAGCCATAGCCAGCAAGTGAGCCCGTAAATCACGACACACATTGGCTGACAATGAATACCCACGCCTCGTTCCCCATGTGTGTCTCTGCACATTAAAATATATACAATTATTTTCACACATCCCATCAGCCAGACGACTTTCTAGAAGTGTGTAAGGGACGTTGCAGCGTTGTGGGATGCAATTACACGAATGACGCTCTATAAAATAGCATTGTTATTAAAAGTGTATTTTTGTTACATCAGTGTTTTAACAGCATAACGCAAACCATGGTCCGGTTTGAACATTCAACGTCTCATCAGCGGAACAAGTGCTGCCAGAATGGTTAAATGATAGGGCACTAACTCTGTTAGATATGGCTCCCGGTTCAACGCATACATCTCTATCGATAAACAACACAACATAATCATTCGCGTCTCTGTGGTGAATATGACAAAATCAATAACGCGCTTTCTTTCCGCATGCATCTCTCAACACACCAACACATAAGTACACGGTGTTCGTTTGTTTAACGGCTGAAAGAAGATCCCCTTGTACCGACAACATCCATCGCACCCCAAGTGTATCAACAGCGTATACATCACCTGCGGTCCAATGATCTCTTCCGATCGGCGTCAATAAACTCTCACAACAACGACATCAATCAATCAAATCCTCGCCGCCTGCTTCCCAGGCTGACGCTGCTCTCTCCGCAGGAGAGTTCCCCGACCAAGCGTCGCCTCGAGCCACTGCCCACACCGCGTGGCTGCTCACAGCCACGGACGGTGGATGAACATCGCACGCTGACAATGGGGGGGGGGGGGGGGGGGCGATCTCAATCTTTGAACCCTGCAGCCTAACGCCTGGAGGTGCCTTGGCGCCCAACTGAATTGTGCCATAAAACTCACCACCACCGCCACAATCGTTGCCCAAAGTCCACCGGCAGTTGCAAGCCAGCAGGTTGGGGGTCGCGGCAGGGCGCATTCACAACGCAGGCGCAGAGGGTTGGTCGAGCGGCCCCGTTTCCGTTACGGCCGCCGAGCCCACGCCCAGAGCTCATCGGTTTGTTGCACGGTGACCGGTTGCGGGCGGTTGCGTGCAACCGGTTGCGACTCGCACTCGTCAGGACAGGATCGACACTGGAGTGTATCGGCGAGTGAAGTTCTGCGTGAACAGTGACTAAGCATGGTAGTAGCAGCAGCAGTAGTGGCGGTAGAAGAGTGACAGGGAGGCGACTGACCACCGATGAGCGACGAGTGGGTAGCCGGATTAAATCGGTGAGTGCTGGATCATCACTACATGTGTATTTATTATGATTCCACCTTAATAGGAGCTCGCTAACAGCGCGTGTCTCACCTGAGCGGCGGCGATGCCCCGTGGACACGGGTTCACTGGTGCGGGGGTGCAGCCACGTGGTGCTGCGCGTGTCCTCACTGTGCGCACACACAAACACCGAGTTATGCACTCGTCAGCCGTGGTCTGTCCACTGCTGAACGAAGGCCTCCCCCAAACGCGTCGCCACCTCTCCGCGGCCTCGAGACGCGACAACAAATCCACCCAGCCGACCGCATCGACTCCTCCACGGATGGACGCCGCCCCCTCCTCTGCCTGCCACTCCATCACCAGTCTCGACCCCCCGGCCATCCTCATCCCTGCGCGAGCCCCAGCCACCGGTCTCTCTGATGCACCTCCCGCAGTCTGTCCGTGAGGTCCCGAGCGGACATCCCTACCTCTCCACGCCTCTTTGTACACCGCTTGGATGTTGTTCCATTCAATTATCTCTGTCTCATGTACTTTCTTAGAGACGTTTATGCGAGTGCAAAGGCAAAGATCCCCCGTATATCGTTAGACGGACTGTTGGGGCAAGTGCTGTTAGCGAGCAGCACTTGTGAAGGCCGGCACGGCACATGGTGGTGGGGACGGGGGTGAATACAGCACCACGCCCGGCCGCCTTTGTCTCGCCAGTGCTGATGTTTTACACATCGCACCAGGTACTCATCTGAGACTGAGTCAACCTAGGGGAGGCCCAGCACCGGTTAAAAAATGCCTAACTGGTGTTGGTCGCGAGCAGGAAAACTTGCCGGGTTCGTAGCAGAGCGCGCTAACCACTCCACCACCGCTGCCCTCACACGGACACAAAACAAAAGCAAAGATCGCCCGTATAACCTGTAACAGACTGTAGGGGCAAGTGCTGTTAGCGAGCGCCTTTGTCTTCCCAGTGGCGATGTTTACACAGCGCGCCAGGTACTCATTTGAGGCTGAGTGGCCCTAGGAGAGGCCCATGACCGGTTCAGATAATCGTCACTGGTGTTTTCCGTGAGCTGGAATCGAACTCGGGTCGTCGGGGTCGTAGCGCAGCGCGCTAAGCGCTACTACATTTCGACTCCCCACACGCAAGGACACAGGCAGAGACTCGCGCACGGTAAGACACACGACCACGCTTCTATTTACACACTTAAACACGCAAGGCACTCGTAAACACGCGTACAAAGACACATATTTACACGCACGCTTGAAGACAAACCCACAGACTCACGGTCACATCCTCACGCACCCGGCGCATTCCTTAATGTGCAACCGCTGCGTACGCATCGGGACAGGCACACAGTCTCATAATCACGTGCACTCTCCATCAGCCACGGTCAATCCACTGCTGGATGAAGGTCTCCCCAAACCACCACCGTCACCTCCTGCGATCCACGTGGCACTCGCTCGAATGCGCACACACACGAGCCGGTGTCAGAATCGCTCCGTCTCCTCGGCGGACGTCCCACTCGGACGTATTCCCTTCCTCGCTCGGCATGCGCGTTTACGCACTGTGGTGTAATCCTCTCTCGCGCGCACAGCCACACGCAGACTGGCTGTAGGTTATACACACACACACATAGATCCATAATACAGGCTTTTTTTAGTTAGATTGCGTAAATATATAAATGTGTCGTGAAACCCGCCACCACCCTACACAGCCAATTAGTAAGGGTTGTCACGTCAACAGAACGTGCCAATTCGTTACTTGTACAGCACACCGTAAATCCACAACATTTACAATCTTTTGTGGATTCACGTGGGGAGGAAGAAACCGGAGCACGCGGAGAAAACTCACGCCTTGTGCGAGGGGGCAACACTTTATCCCCATACGGATGAAAACAGATGGCGATTAGTCCACTTGCTGTGCCGCCTTCTCGTGGCGAGCCAAGGCACGGCTCCTCCTCGACGCCCACGGGAAGGGAGTTTCACAACATCTGTGAACGGTCATCCACCAACCCTCGCTGCTGCCTCCACACGCAGCGCTGGATTCTTACAGCGGCCACGTGCAGCGTAGCCACCACCACTGCCGCCCGGTTAGAATCCCGAGTCCCCGTTTGAGAACGAATGAAAAGATCCCCCGTATAGCCTCATACTCTTTTGGGTAAAGTGCTGTTAGCGAGCACCTATTGAAGCCGGCACGGCGCACAAGGGGGTGGGTGGCCAGCACCACGCCCGGCCGCCTTTGTCTCCCTCGGCGGCGATGTTTACACACCCCACCAGGTACTAATTTGAGGCTGAGTCGACCTACGCGAGGCCCAGGACCGGTTCAGATAATCGTCACTAGTGTTGACCGTGAACGGGAATCGAACTCGGGTGGCCGGGTTTCGCAGCGTGATACACCACCGCTCCCCACACACTACCGCACACACGCACACATGCACACATGCACACACACACACAACACTACACGCACACACGCACACATGCACACATGCACACACACACACAACACTACCGCACACACGCACACATGCACACATGCACACACACACACAACACTACACGCACACATGCTCACACACACACACAACATTATCCGTATCTGTGCTCTCTATTTACCCGGGTGAGACAGCATTGAGATTAATGATCGCTATTAGCAAATAAATGCACTCGAGTCAACACGTCCGCGGTGTGACTATAACCTGGCACCCCGCGTCATCATCATCTGAATTCATCGCTCCATCTCCCTGCCGGCTGTGACCACGTGGGCGCGTGACGTCCCTTGGCTGCCACGCCGACGTTATTCTCGACCAAGTGCCATCCACGCGGTAACGCGTTAACTCTTTGCCTATGAGCCGCGTTGTGCTGTTTGTTGCTGGCCGATCAACGTTATGTGCTCAGCAACTGTAAACCTCTTTGCGTGCCCTGGCCAATCGCATTGAAACTAAACTAATATTTTTTATTTTACCAGGTGAAGCCCACTGAGCTTTGTAGCTCTTATTCAGAAGCGACCTGGCCACAAATGATAGCTCAACAAAGTGGCTTATCATCACGTGGAAATGTATAGCAGCCAAATAATCTGAACGGGTGACGTTGATTCAAAATTTTGGAGGAAAAACCCGGAGGACCCGGAGAAAAATCCACACGACCACGGGGAGTGAGACCTGCAAACTGCAAATATACAGCAGCAGCAGCAGGCGTCAGAGTCGGGATCGAGCCCACGACCACCTGCAGTCCAGGCGAGGGAGTTAACATCTAGCCACCGTGGCGCCCCCAGCTATTGGTGATGCATCAGAGTGATGTACATGATTCATGTTATTCTGCGTGTGTTCTCTGCGCCGTGTGTTCCCCTTCATGTCTCTCGGCGTAATTCCAAGCCTGCACCTTACCTCCCCATGCTTCTTTGCGCACTCGGGGTGAGATGGGGTAAATGTAGATGTGTCGTACACCCACCGCCACCCGACACAGCCAATTGGCACGCTCTGTTCACGTGACAAATTTTACTCATTGGCCGTGTCGAGTGGAGGTGAGTGTACGACACATGTATATTCACGCCATCTCACCCAAATAACCTAAACGTGAATCCTTTGTCGCTGTTAATGATTGGTTAAAAAAACCGTGTTGGCCGTGGCACTGCACGGCGAGGCGGGTCGAGTCAAGGACAGAATGCAGGGAATGTTGCGCAAAAAGGCAGCAGACAGGGGGGGAGTGGCACGGAAGGGGCAGGGAGGGGGCAGTCTGCCGAGAAGGAGGAAGAGGGGGGCATGGCTCAAGATGAGCAGCAGGGCGGAGGAGGAATGACCGGGCAAACGTGATGGTGACGATGAGAGGCTGGTGGTGGGATGATGATGAGAAGAGAGATGGAAGGAGCAGAAGAGAGCTGCATGGAGGAGGAGGAGGAGGAGCGGCGTCTGTTCTCACAGGGGGCGGGGAGAGGGGAGGGGTTCAGAGTGGGGGTGGCCACGCAGAAGCCGCGTGATTAACAGGAGGCTTGAGCCTAGGTACATTGGTGTGTTGAAGAATGTAACAAATGTAATCAGACCCAACAAAAAGACGGATCCCTTGTCTCGACTGAGAGTAGGTCCCAGGATCGATTCAGATATCACTCGCCACTGATGCTAGCCGTGGACCGGAGTCGAACGCAGGGCTCCGGCTCCATAGCACAGTGCGCTAACTACTGCGCCACCGCTCTCCACATATACACACAACAGCATCAGCCATTCGCCACTAAGTGATTGTGACGTCACCATAGCGCTTGTGCCAAGCTAGGTGCATTTTGAGGCCATGCTAAGTGTCACGCACAAACAGATACACACACGGATGAGACCAAACACACACACACACACGTCTATACACAATACACACACAAACTCACACAAACTCATACAATAAACACTGATACAAAGGCACACCCAAACACACATTCACTCCCACAGCCCCTCTCACAAACTCACAACGAATACAAAGATCCCCCATATAGCCTTTAACAGACTGTTAGGGCAAGTGCTATTAGCGAGCACCTATGAGGGGGTGGGTGGCCAACACCACGCCCGGCCGCCTTTGTCTCCCTTAGTGGCGATGTATACACAGCACACACCAGGTACTCAATTGAGGCTGAGTCGACATAGGGGAGGCCCAGGACCGGTTCAGATAATCGTCACCCGATTTTGGTGGTGAGCGGAAATCGAACTCGGGTGGCCAGGTTGGTAGGGCTGCGCGTGCTAACCGCTGCGCCACCGCTCCCCACGGGTGTGCACACACGCGCAGGATCCCATTCGCCCTTCACAGCGAATTGCGCGCATTCCGCAGCACGCGCAAGCGCATTGATTAATCATTAACCGCGCACTGTTAGTAAGCACGCGGCGCTGACAAACACACAAACAAGGGCAGGTTGGGCGAGCGGGTATATGTATATATGTGTGTAGCGGTGAGAGTGCTGCGCTACGAACCCAGCCACCCGAGTTCGATTCCCGCTCACGGCCAACACCAGTGACGATTATCTGAACCGGTCATGGGCCTCCCCTAGGTCGACTCAGCCTTAAATTGGTACCTGGTGCGATGTGTAGTAAACATCGTGACTGGGGAGACAAAGGCGGTCGGGCGTGGTATTGGCCACCCACCCCCTCGTGTGCCGTTCCGTCTTTTATAGGTGCTCGCTAACAGCACTTGCCCCAACAGTCTGTTAAAGGCTATACGGGCGATATTTGTCTTTGTATGTAGTTTATTGTGTATGTTGGTGTGTATACAAGTGTGTGTGTATAATACATGCTGGTGTGTGTGTGTACAGGCGCATGTGCGGTGTGTGCACATATGTAGGGGTATCTGCGTGTGTCTAGTTATATATGTCTGTACGTATGTTCGAGTGTCTGCAAACACAGAGAGGTGTTCAACAAAGACAAAGATCCCCCGTGAAGCCTCCAACAAACTGTTGGGGAAAGGATTGTTCGCGAGCACCTATTAAGGTCAACACGGAACACGAGAGGGTGGTGTGGCCGCGACTGCCCCCAGCCGCCTTTGTCTCCCCAATGCTGATGTTTACACACCGAACCCCTACTCATTTGACAAGTACACACACCCACCTGCACGCACACACACACGTGTGCACACAGTTGAGGTGAGTATGTGTACACACCTGTGCACATACTCAACTCATTGAACCACACACACACACGCGTGTGCACAGACATACACACAGGTGCACACACCTGCAGAAACAACAACAACAGCCGCAGTTCACCACTAAGTGACGGTGACGTCACCACGGCGCTTGTGCCAGGCTAGGTGCACCTTAAGGCCACGTGAAGTGCCGAAGGCTCGCTGGCAGGAGGTCACGGAACATACCCAGGTGCGGCTGAACTGACTGTCAGATGCTCCCCAATATGCCAACTTTCGGCGTTTTAACCGCCGGGCGCTCCGCTCGTTATTGTGAGCGTCGCTCCTCTGCCCTCCGTTGTTGTTGGAGGGCGACTGCCTCCAACTCCCCAGTAGCGTCCTTCACGAGCCTCCTCCACAGAGGCCGATCTTGACACCGCTGGTACCAGTCATCAGCAAGTCCACTCAGCTCCACGTCCTCCTGTACCACATCACTCCATCTCTTCTCTAGCCCGTGTCGCGCCCATTTAGCCCCCTCTATCCAACCGAACAGAAGCTGTTTCAGCATGCGGTGGCTGGGCATGTGGGCTACATGACCCAGCCTCGCTTGCCGGAGGAGTTCACTGATGGGGCTGTGCCCAGATCTTTCAAGAATCTGTGAACTCCTCACACAATCCAATCTGGCTAAACCCAGAATGGATCAGGCTAGCCTGAATGTTTCAAACCGGCGCAAAAAAGTTATTTTAGAGGGCTCCATATTAACGCAAGCACACAGAGAGAGAGAGGGAATAATTGTGGCCGAGAAGACCCGGAGCTCAGTACGGAGCGACAGACCGAGTCAGCTTCCGCACGACAGCGTTACGCAGCTGACGAGAAAATAATGCCGCTTGAAAGATTCGGAACGAGACCCCGGCTGCCAAACCGAAGCTGGCCATGAGCACACGTACACACAATTACACACACGTACACAAAGACAACAACACACACACGTAGACACACACATACACACAACTCACTGCATGAAGTAGACACGACCGTCACTCGTCACGTCGTAATACCAGCCGGGCGGCAGGCTGTCCCTGCCAGTGAAGTCGTCGCCCGCCATTTCACACGAGACGAGGTTCGGGGCTCACGCCGGCCCACGGGGGCGGGGGTGGTCAGAGGCCCAGGTCGAGGTCCCGGCCGCCGCTGCCGCTGATGATGCTGCTGCTGCTGTTGTTGACCGTGTGAAGGACAGACACCTTCCCTCTCAATCTCAGCGGCTACCCCCCCCCACCCCCCTTCCTCTCCCCGCCCCTAACGAGGGGCTCACAGCGAGACAAAGTCCAACGTGTGATGATGTCGCCTCTTGCTACTGCTGCTGCTGATGATTATGCTGCGATAATGTCCCGGCAGTCGCTGCTGATGCTATAATGGAACGGTCCGGCAAGCACTGCTGATGATGAAGATTGATGATTGATACTGATGATGATGATTTCGTTACTAGTTAAGAGACTGCTGCTGGAGCTGCTGTTGTTGCTGCTACTGTTGCTTCCGCCGCTTCTGCTCTTGCTGATAATGCTGCTGCTGATGTTGCTGCTGCTGATGTTGCTGCTGATGATGATGACGCTCGCAATAGTCCAAAGCGCTTCCCCGGCCTCGCGAGAGCGCGCGTGGAGCGGAGCCGCGACGCACCGAGCTCGCAACCGTCCCGTGACGATCGCCCCCCCCCGTCTCCCCTCCGTGGCCCCCTTTCTCTGCCCCCGCCTCCCCCTCCGCTCCTCGAGGGGATGACTATAGTTGAGGGGTGGGGGGAGGCGGAAAGGAAAATTGGGGGGGGGGGGGGCACAACCAGAAATCCGTAAATGAAAGTCGGAAGAGCGCCGCGCACGTCTTGACGCACCGACTGGGCGCTCAGCCGCGCGGCCAGCCCCTGCACCTCCAACAATACCTGCCCCCCCCCAAACAAAGCGAACCCCCCCCCCCCTTCTACCGCTCTCGCTAACCCAGTCGAGCCTCGACGAGGAAGGAGCGAGTGCCGTGAGCGTGCGCCGAGCAAAGCCGGCACGGTCCACCGCGGAGGGGTCGAGCGGACACGTGGGATGGCCCCGTGTCCCCCACGTCGCTTACCGCCCGATGTTATTCCCCCGGCGCTGACGTTTTACATATCGCGGCTGTCGGTACTCGTTTAATGCCGAGTCGACCTAGGGGAGGCCCAGGACCGGGGGTTCAGACGCACACGCTCGCTCACTCGCACGGAGTGCCTGCGATTGGCTCCGTGCGGTCAGATGCTCGGAGCGCCGAGCGTTGCCGGGGCAACCGCATCAAGAGCTGAGCAGTGTTTGGAGAGCGGTGGTGGGGGCTGGGGAGGGAGGGAGGGAGTCTCGATGCGAACATAAATGCGCTCACGATGCCGCCCAGTGGCGCAATCTCGTTCCGTCAGCATCATCAGCACGATCACCATCATCATCATCATCAGCATGATCATCAGCATCATCATGAGCAGCATCAGCAGCAGCCGCATGATGATATGTGTTGAATTTTAGTGGACTTTATTATTAGTGTAATCATCACCATCATCCTCATCATCACCAAAATCATCATCCTTATCGTCGTCTCAATCAGCATGATACCTCCTCGAAAGGGTTTCAGTGAAGTCTATATCATCATCATCCCTTATTCTTAGCATTAGCATGACGGCAAGACACGACTTTGTCATCACACCATCATCACCATCACCGTCATCATCATCATCGTGCTATCTGGATAGGGCTTCACTGCCTTTCATTACAATAATCAACATCATCACGACGTCTGATCTGCGTTTACCTGATATTGATGATCGTCATCATCATCCCCCTTTGTCAACATCTCCCGGAAGGCGCCCGACCTCGCCACATCTCGGAAGCTAAGCGGGCTCGAGCCTGGAGAATGTTGATTGATGGACAGGCAACATCGATGTTGATTGATTGACAGCCTGTCATAAGTGTAGGCCCTCAATCAATTCACTGCTGACGATTACGTGATTCGGAACCGCTAACTACGTTCGGGCGGCGTCACGGGTGGCTACATGAGTTCAATTCCCGACCCCGGCTAACATCAGTGGCGAGTCATATCTGATCCGGTTCTGGGTGCCTCTCACCCTCCTCCAACCGGCAGTGACCAACGTGGTGAAGTATGACCAACCCCCAATGATGACGGCACAGCGTCGCGTGATCATGGCGATGATGAATGCTGACGTTGTGTCAACGTCTCTACCTGCTCTGTCTGTCTGTCGCCACGTCTCCGCTACCGCCCTCCCCACCCCCTCGGGTCACCCCTTCGCTACTGCCCACACGCCTCCATGTAGGTCACGCTACGCGTGGGTCCTTAGGGGACACTTGGGGGTCGCAATTGTTCACTGCACGCGTACAGTGCACGGGGTAACCACGCGTGAACGCTGCGGCGCTCTCTCTGCCCCCCTTACACCCCCCCCTCGCCTTCTCCGCTCCAGCTACATCCACCCACCCCACGAAGCTCCGAGTACTTAAGACTTACACACACAAACTGGACGGTGTGTCCCCCATCTCACGCATGCGTTGGTGCGTATAACAACTAAGTGGGGGTGACGTCGCCACAGCGCTTGTGCCAGGCTAGGTGTACCCTTTAGGCCACGTGCAGGCTCGCGCGCGCACCTACCGTCACGTGCTGTATAGTAGGCGCGCGCAATAATGCAAAGTACACAGGCACGCTCGCGTATACACGCGCGCACATTCACACGCGCGGTGCACGTGTGAATGTGCGCGCGTGGGGAGCGGTGGCGCAGTGGTTAGCGCACTGCGTTACGAAGCCCGGCCACACGAATTCGACTCCCGCTCACAACCAACATCGGTGACGAATAGCGGTCCCGGGTCTCCCCTGGGTAGACTCGGCATAAAAATAAGTATCTGGAGCGATGTGCATGCAACATCAGCAGTGTAGAGACAAAGGCGGTCCGGAATGGTATTGGCCACACCGTCTCGCGTGTCGCACCGGCCTTCGTAGGCGCGACTCGAGAACTGCACTTGGCCCCGACGGTCTGCCGAGGCTATCCGGGAAGGGGGATGACCTTTGTCTTTGCGCGTGCGTGAGAAAGTCTGCGGGCGCCCACGCGCACGAGGAGGCCTCTTAATCCGTCTCGCCCCGTCAGCTCAAATAGCCGCGCGGGTCACGCGATTCCTGGCTCCTCCTGCTCCTCCTCTCGCATCGCGGGGATTCTTCGGCATCATCCATCAGAGGAGGAGGGATCAGTGTCCCCGAGACACGGGTCTGCATTCTCGCCACCATCGTAACACGCGGCAAGAGAAGCACAGCACGCGCGACCGTGCCCCACCTAGAGCCTTGACAGACATTTAGGGCAAGTGCTGCTGCTATCAAGCCCCCCCCCCCCCAAATGAAGGCCGGCACGGCACACGAGGGCTTGGGTGGTCAGCACCTTGCCCGACCGCCTTTGTCTTCCGAGTGACGATGTTTTCTACACATCTGAGGCTGAGTCGACCTAAGGGGAGGCACACGATAATCGTTACTGGGTGTTGGTGGCCGTGAGCGGGAATCGAACTCGGTTCGCCGCTAACCGCTACACTACCGCCCCATAGACACGCACACACAGAGACACATCGAGACGCCGCTGGCGAGGTGACAGAACGAGACCAGGAGAGATAAATCCTTCCTATACTCACCCAGTGGTTCTCAACCGGGGGTACGCGGAACCCATGGGGATTCCGTGGCAAAGTCACAGGGGGTACGTGAGGTGATTTATAAATGTGTGTGAAATTATATCATACCGTAAGAGTCATTGGTGAATAATCATGTACGACTCATCCAATATAATATATCTGTGAACCCATACGGGTTACTCGTGTTCCTGTGCAGGCGAATTGAGTGTTCAGGTCCGGGCAAAAACTTTGTGTCTATTTGTTTGTGTTTCTCCCTTGTGATGGGACTTTGTAGGATGAACGTTGAGATTTATAAGGGCACGGGGTGACCAACAAGGTCTGAATTGGCATGTAGCTAGCTTGGCACTGGTAACAGATTCACAGGATTGTAATATACAGTGAGGGAAAAAAATATTTGATCCCCTGCTGATTTTGTACGTTTGCCCACTGACAAAGAAATGATCAGTCTATAATTTTAATGTTAGGTTTATTTTAACAGTGAGAGACAGACGAACAACAAAATCCAGAAAAACGCATGTCAAAAATGTTATAAATTAATTGCATTTTAAGGAGGGAAATACGTATTTGACCCCTCTGCAAAACATGACTTAGTACGTAGTGGCAAAACCCTTGTTGGCAATCACAGAGGTCAGATGTTTCTTGTAGTTGGCCACCAGGTTTACACACATCTCAGGAGGGATTTTGTCCCATTCCTCTTTGCAGATCTCCAAGTCATTAAGGTTTCGAGGCTGACGTTTGGCAACTCGAACCTTCAGCTCCTTCCACAGATTTTCTATGGGATTAAGGTCTGGAGACTGGCTAGGCCACTCCAGGACCTTAATGTGCTTCTTCTTGAGCCACTCCTTTGTTGCCTTGGCCGTGTGTTTTGGGTCATTGTCATGCTGGAATACCCATCCACGACCCATTTTCAATGCCCTGGCTGAGAGAAGGAGGTTCTCACCCAAGATTTGACGGTACATGGCCCCGTCGATCGTCCCTTTGATGCAGTTAAGTTGTCCTGTCCCCTTAGCAGAAAAACACCCCCAAAGCATAATGTTTCCACCTCCATGTTTGACGGTGGGGATGGTGTTCTTGGGGTCATTGGCAGCATTCTTCCTCCTCCAAACACGGCGAGTTGAGTTGATGCCAAAGAGCTCCATTTTGGTCTCACCCAGTTGTCCTCTGAATCATTCAGATGTTCATTGGCAAACTTCATACGGGCATGTAAATGTGCTTTCTTGAGCAGGGGGACCTTGCGGGCGCTGCAGGATTTCAGTCCTTCACGGCGTCGTGTGTTACCAATTTATTTCTTGGTGACTATGGTCCCAGCTGCCTTGAGATCATTGACAAGATCCTTCCGTGTAGTTCTAGGCTGATTCCTCAGCGTTCTCATGATCATTGTAACTCCACGAGGTGAGATCTTGCATGGAGCCCCAGGCCGAGGGAGATTGACAGTTCTTTTGTTTTTCTTCCATTTGCGAATAATCGCACCAACTGTTGTCACCTTCTCACCAAGCTGCTTGGCAATGGTCTTGTAGCCCATTCCAGCCTTGTGTAGGTCTACAATCTTGTCCCTGACATCCTTGGAGAGCTCTTTGGTCTTGGCCATGGTGGAGAGTTTGGAATCTGATTGATTGATTGCTTCTGTGGACAGGTGTCTTTTATATAGGTAACAAGCTGAGATTAGGAGCACTCCCTTTAAGAGTGTGCTCCTAATCTCAGCTCGTTACCTGTATAAAATACACCTGGGAGCCAGACATCTTTCTGATTGAGAGGGGGTCAAATACTTATTTCCCTCATTAAAATGCAAATCAATTCATAACATTTTTGACATGCGTTTTTGGGGATTTTTTGTTGTTATTCTGTCTCTCACTGTTCAAATAAACCTACCATTAAAATTATAGACTGATCATTTCTTTGTCAGTGAGCAAACGTACAAAATCAGCAGGGGATCAAATACTTTTTTCCCTCACTGTAGAATAGCTACGATGCATATTAAACCCATATGGTGAGCTAGAACGACACGAAAGTCCATTGACACAATGCGTCTTTCCCAGAGTAACGAGCGTGAACAAATCACGTCACGCTTAACGATAACCTCACAACACGGATAATTTGTAAACATAATTATTGACGTTCATTAATTAAAACTTTTATTTCTCAGAACCGTGTTGGGGTGAGGCTCGGTGGCCGCTCGGTTGAGACAACATTCCACGAGGGGGGTAACGACTCTAGCAGCCACACAAAGTTGAGGATAGCCACTCTGCTCGGCACATCCAACAACCACAACAACAAAGAGACAAAGATCCCCCCTGTAGCCTTAACAGACTGTTGGGGCAAGTGCTGTTAGCGAGCACCTTTGAAGGCCGGCACGGTACACGAGGGGGTGGGTGGGTGGGCAGCAACCCGGCCGCCTTTGTCTCCCCAGTGGCGATGTTTACACACCGCACCAGTTACTCAGTTGAGGCTGAGTCGACCAAGGGGAGGCCCAGGACCGGTTCAGATAATCGTCATCGGTGTTTGCCGTGAGCGGGAATCGAATTCGGGTCACCGGGTTCGTAGTGCAGCACGCTTACCGCTACACCACAACAACCACAACAACAACAACAAC